GGAAATGCAGAGTCTCTGGCCTCACTCTAGACCTTCCAAATGAGACTCTGCATTTGAATCGATCCTATGCAATTTATATGCAGAGAGAGGCCCAAACTTTTCTTCCAATGCTCAGTCTAACCCCTGCCACTCTCCCCTTTCCTTTCTTCTATCCAGGCCCACTTGCCTCGAGCTCCCCCTGGGGCTGGCTGCATTTCCAGCAGAGCTTATATCACCTTCTCTAATTATCTTGCTGACCTTTTTGTTTACTTGTTACTGGCCTGACTTTCCCCAAAAAAACAGCAGCTCACTGCTGTGGCCCCAGGGTCTTAGAACAGTGCCTGGCACAAGTCGGTTCTCTATAAATATTTGTTGAGTCAAAGATAAATAAAAGCAGAACACAGAGGACTCATTTTTTCCCCAAGGTGGGGAGAACAGAGAGAGAGGAGGAGGAGGAATTAATTATGAGAGCCACCTTGAAGCCATCCTCTAGCCACAAGATCTGGGTTCTTCTGAAAACGCCACACCCACTCATGCTTCAATACCCGTAGAGGACTGGAAATCGTGGCTTCAATATTTTTCAGTGCTTCCCATCAAGACGTACAGTCTCTAACCCCACCTCTTCAATGTGGGCTTGCCTCGTCATTTGCTTTGATTGATAGAAAATTATGGAAGTGACAGTGAGTGAATTCCAGCACCCGGGTATTAAGAAACTTTAAGCTCCTTTGTCATGCTCTTGGAAATACCCCGGCCACCATGCTGTACGGAAGCTGGTCTACACTACTGGCACGAGAGAGGCCTCGTGGGGCACTGAGGCCTCCAGCCGAGAGCCAGAACCAGCGGCCGGATGTGTGAGTGACGCCATCTTGGACTTCCCGGCCCCCGCCGCTCTTGCCGCTGAAGTTGCCACCTGAGTGGCCCCCGGGCGACCCCACACAGAGCAGCACTGAGTTGTCCTGGCTCAGCCCTGTGCAAATCACAAAACTGTGAGCCAGTAAACGGTTGTTGCTTAAGCTTCTATCTCGTTATGACAAAAGATGATTGAAATAATTCCGTTTAAGTAACCAACCCCAAGAAAGATTTCCCCAGTGTGCTATTAAACAGAATCTGATTTATGCCAATTGGTGATTCTTATCCCAGGGGTGGAGTAGCAGGGAATGTGGGAGGTGGGAGGTGACATCTCCCCATGGAAGGGAAGAGAAAGGACCAAACCTTTGTCACCTCTGGGAGTCCTGATGTGTGAGAGTGGCCATCACACATACCAGTAAAGGCAGCTCACGTGAGTTTTGGTGGGTTTTTTTGTTTTTTTACTGTGGTCAAATACACATAACACAAAGTTTATCATTTTAACCAAAATGTACATTTCAGTGGCATTAAGCACATTCGCAGTGTTGTACAACCATTGCCACTACCTAGTTCCAGAACTTTTATCATCGTCTCCAAAAGAACCTTCATACCTATTAGCAGTCACCCCCAAACCCCCTCACCCAGCTATCTGTTTTCTGTCTCTCTGGGTTTACCTGTTCTGGACATTCCATACACATGGGATCCTATAATGTATGGCCTGTCTCATCTGCGTTCTTTCACTGGGCACGATGTTTCCAAGGTCTGTCCATGTCACAGCCTGTGTCAGTCAGTCCTTCATTTATTTTTATGGCTGAACCACATCACTGCTGTATGGGCAGCCCACATTTTGTTGCTCCATCCATCAGGTGGTGGGCATTTGGCTTGTGGCCACCTTTTAGCCGTAATGAATAATGCTGCTATAAACATTTCCACACAGGTTTTGACCTAATCCAGTGCTTCTCAACTGGGGTGGTTGTGCCCCGGCCCTGGGTGGGGGGGGAGGGACATTTGACAGAGCCTGGAGAGGTCTTTGATTATCACAAATAAAGCAGATGCTATTAGCATCTATTAAATAGAGGCCAGAGATGCTGCCAAACATCCTCCAAGGCCCAGGATGGTTCCCACAACAAGAACCATCGAGGCCCCATGTTGACAGGAGCCAGATTGAGAAGTCCTGGTCCAATCCAACGTTATCCAGCCTCAATGGCAGCTCAGAGGATTATACCACACTCACCCTTTAATGTGGATTCTTTCTGAGCCCCCAGGAAATAGAAACTTCATCTCTTTCCCATCTCAGAGTCCACGGCCTGGTGGCCAGTTTAGAAACATGTGATTCTTCCTTTAACACCCACCGTTTCCAAGAGGAAAATCAAAACAAAACTCTCCAAATCAATTGCAGGGAAAAAAAATAAAAGGATATTTCTGATGTTTTTCTAAGCTTTTCATCCTTTTTAAAATGGGGGTTGGGGGGGGGTCAAGTGGCAACTGAGGAATAAAAGCAAGTGTTCAAAAGCATCAGCGACCAAAAGTCCACAGAAAATCAAAACAAACCCGGCTCTCAGTGTGTGTAATTACAGGTACAATCAAGTAATGAAAGGTTTATTAGTTTAATGTGATTCCATCAAGTACCAAAAAGCAGGAAGGAGTGGGAGAAAGAAAGAAAATGGATGTGAAAGAGCAGAGGGAGGGGAAAGAGAGACATGAAAGAGGAATTGGAGAGAGCAGAGGGGGAAAATTAAGATGCATCTTTAATTAAACGGTACATGCTGGGTGTTGGACCAGAGTTTATCCAGGGAAGCTTCAGAGGAGCAGGCTTGAGCGTCGTTTCCAAAATCTGTGCCTTTGCACTCATTCCACGAATAATTTCTTATGCTGGGTGCTTGGCCTTGTTTGGAGCTGTGGGGATCCCGCAGTGAACAAAATAGACACAAATACCTCCCCCTCCTCCCCCCGGAGCTTGCATTCAAGTGGAGAAAACAGACATTTAGAAGAAATAATACGTCAAATGCACAGGACATTGCATGGATGAAAACAAAGCAGGAAAGGGAAATAGAACATGTTGGGGGGGGAAGTGTTGGCAGGTGGGCAAGGAGGGGCTGATATTCAAGCGAAGACTGGAAGGACACGAAGGAGTGAGCCAGGGGCAGATCTGGGGGAAGAGCATTCCAGGCAGGGGGCAAAGGATGTGCAAATGTCCTGGGGTAGGGCGTGCCTGTGGAGGAGTTGTGAGGAGGCCGATGTGCCTAGAGCAGGGTGAGGAGGAGATCGTGGGGGATGAGGACAGTCAGGCCATGGAGACCAGACTCTGCAGGGCCTCGTGGAGCACAAGAAAATCTCTGGCTTTTACGCTGGGTGAGAAGGGAGCCAGGGGAGGGTTTTGGATGAAGGAGGGACACAGGATCACTCTAGCTGCTGGTAGAGAAGAGAGGGAAGCAGGGCTGAGACTAGGGTGAAGTATGAAGGGGGCAGAAGTTAAGCAGGCTCTACTCTCAGGGTGTGCAGCTCCTCACTCGCCCCCGCCCATCCCAGCCCTGCTAGGAAAGGGCATTTAGGCCTTAAGGCAAAGACCCTGTGGCAGACACAGACCACCCCAGCCAAGGAAGGCCGTGTTGGCAAGTGGACTCCAACTATCAACCTCTCCAAGGATGGCCTGAGATGCAGAGAGCTTCCACCTGCAAGGCCAGGCCCCTTCTCAGAGTGGTGTTTTAAATGTAGGTTTTAGGGGCCGGGCGCGGTGGCTCACGCCTGTAATCCTAGCACTCTGGGAGGCCGAGGTGGCGCGATTACTCGAGGTCAGGATTCGAAACCAGCCTGAGCAAGAGCGAGCCCATCTCTATGATAAATAGAAAGAAATTAATTGGCCAACTAATATATATATATAATTAGCCGGGCATGGTGCACATGCCTGTAGTCCAGCTACTCAGGAGGCTGAGGCGAAGGATTGCTTGAGCCCAGGAGTTTGAGGTTGCTGTGAGCTAGGCTGACGCCACGGCACTCACTCTAGCCTGGCACAAAGTGAGACTCTGTCTCAAAAAAAAAAAAATGTCGGTTTTTTATTATTTAGGAACAGCAAAGCCAACAGATCAGGGACCCTCTTGTCATTAGTTTGTTACTCACGGTCCAGGTGGGGGGAGCTTGCCATGCCACGCAGGGCCACATGGGGGCAGCACTATGATCAGGAGGCAGAGGGAGTCTTTACTGCCATTTCTAAGAGAAGAAATCTTAGGACTGGTGAGTTAGAAGAGTTTTAGCAGGCTCTGGGGCATGGGGGCTGTCCCTAGTTGTCTGGTTCCTGGCCTTGTGGTGATTAGGACAGGTGGTTGGGCTTGTGGGCTCTAGGCTGCTTGCTTTGCATGGGAAAGGGACACCCAGAGTGGACTCATTTACTGTCTCTAGGAACTGCCTAGCCTTGGAAGAGGCAGTCCCTCCAGGGTCAGCGAGGGTCTCAGATACCAAAACTGTAGAACGAAAAGGCCAGGACCTCCATCACGGCTCAACTTCCTCTCTGCCTGTTCCTGCTCCCTTCCCTTCCTTCCCATGGCACTCACGACAAATACCCTACAAGCCAACCCCTGTCCCGGAGTCTGTCTGCTTCCTGGAAAACCCAGCCCAGGACAGCATGAGTGAAAGAAGTATGAAATATGCCCCCCAAACCTCGGTGGCAGGGGGCAAGATGGCCAGGGAAGACAGTCACGTGGTGGAACCCCACCCCACGCAGCCTGGCCCCATCGCTGGGGTCTTTCTCCCCATCTGCAGTTCTGGGCCTTCCTCTCCCTCTCTCCTGCCATCTCCCCCATCCCTCTGTTTATAGGGAAGTATAACACACATATAGAAAAAATGTCCCAATCCTAAGTGTACACATCAATAAATTATGAAAAAGCAAACACTCACCCAAGTCAAGAAATAGAACATCACCTGCAACTCCCAAACACTTCCCACGTCACCTCCCAATCAAAGGTAACCTTTTGTCTATCCTGGCTGCTCACACTCTGGTTTAGTTTGGCCTGTTTCTGCATTTTATACATTTGACCATAGAATTTATCTTTTTTGAGTCATTCTTCTTTCCCTCAACATATATATAATGTGTGTGTGAGACTCTCCCATGTTGCTGTGAGTAACTGTATTTGGTTCATTTTTCATTGCTGTATACTATTCTATGGTACAAACATGGCAGCCCATCTTCCAAACTACTTTAATGGACATCTGGGTTAACAGGCATGTCGCAAAAGCAGTTCTCTAAATGCAGGGAAAGAATGTTCAACATCATTAGTTACCAGGAAAATGTCACTTCAAACCAAAGCGGGATACCGCCACCTACCCACCAGAATGGATAAAATTAAAGAGTCAGACAATACCAAGTGTTGGTAAGGTTGTGGTGCAACGCGCTGTGTGGTAAGCAGGTTGCTGGCTGTGAAGTCGACTCTGTTCATTGCAACCAACGGCAGCCAAGAAGAGCAGCAATTGCTCAGAGACTTCAAATCAACAGAACAGCTCTTTCCTATAAACGCAGACACCAGGCAATCGCACCAGGCCTCCATCTGACGTCCTCTGTCCTTTGCCCGGCTGGTATTTGCCACTTAACGCGACAAACCCAAGCACAGTTGAATAGGGCCACGTATTTTTATCTGAGCACCAAATCAAAGGGGCGTTGGGACTGGATGTGTCATCTGAGACACAGCGTGCTCAGCCCTGGCTCCGGGGACCCGTAGGTCTATGAGTCAGTCACCTCTCTCTGCCATAATACCTGAATCAGAACCAGGCAAACTCTCATTCGGATCTAGTTGTTCTGATAGGCAACCAAATGTGCTTTCCAAAAATAAAAAATCATCTAAGCGGTTACGGTGACAGATATTGAAATCCAAATGCTAAAAGCCTTCTGACGACGGTGCTCCAGGTGGCTGGGAGATATATTTTTTTCTTCTTCTTTTAATCTAAATCATGTTCCCAGACGGCACAGAGACTGGTATAAATTCTCTTCTGCACTAATCTTTTATATGCTTTTATGCTTGTCTGAGATGATTGAACATGACTCATTCATAGTTCTGCTTTCAACTACCACTGGTCTCTTCCAGTCGGCAACATCTGGTTTTTTGCAGCTAAAGGCTCCCTTTGTCTATCACATGACTCTGCGGTGTTCTTAGGAGAGAGCGAGTCTACACCAAGGGCTGGTCCAATGCCAGCAGCTGCCATACACGATAGAAGATCCCCGGACCATCTGCACTATTTATTGATGGTGATATGAAACGGGACGTCAGCTGAATGGGAACTGCCAGCCCCGCGGTGTAGACCGGTGTTTTTTTCAACCACTTTTATTGTTTTCATTGCAAACCCTTTCTTTCAAACAAAATTTAAATAAAACTTTAAAAAGAATTCCTGTTCTTTGGCAGCTTTAAGGGGCAGATACACTCTCCCCTTTCCTCTCAAGAGAACTCCTGGGGTGTCTTCTCTGAAACCACTGTGCTCCAGAAACGTGCTTGAAGCCACCAGTGTAGACCAAGTTCATGGTACAGTAGGAGTTCACATTGGTTATTTCCAGGTGATTTTTATTTTCTTCTGCTTTTTCTGCATTTATGATAAATATGTATAACTTGGTAATCATAAAAATAAATTTGCCTTTTAAAAAGCTAGTATTGTTTGATATTCCTTAAACACACCCTATAAAGCATCAAGCCAGCTTCCGGATATTGGTTGGCAAGTATTTGCACTAAATATTCGCTGGGCACCATTCTCAGCACTGAAGATACAGTGGTGAACAAGACCTGGATAGCAGCTGCCCTCAAAGATCTGACATTTTAATAGCAGGAAGAAAGGAGTACGTCTGTCCCTGGTGACATCTCTCTCCCGGGACTCACTTGCAGATTTTGTGCTTTTCATCCTTGGAACCTGGAGCTCTGTGGGTCTAGCAGCTTTAGTGCCCAGAGGGAGGATGCTAGTACCTATTTACCACGGGACACAGCAATAATCCCACTAAGTTCAAATTGATGGCTGGCGCCTCATGCCAGTTGGCCAGAAGGGGGAAGAAAGAGGAATCACTGTCCTGGGGAAAATGATGGCTGCAATCATCGGGAAAAGGCTGGGCTGCAGGCGCATGATGGGGAGAGGGAGGTCAGATGGTTTGTTTGGGGCTCAGATGGTTCCCTGGGCATCTCTTGGTACCCCCATGCCTAGGAGGAACTGCGAATGGGCAAGTGCAACCCAGGCCTGATAAGGACATGGTAACCAGGGCCTCAGACCCCTCACCCAGGAGGAGGGCTTAGGTCACCCCAGCAGGACAGCCACTGAAACCTGCAAAGGAGAAGGAATCTAGAATGAGCAGTGGAGGAGGGAGACGATGGGTACTAGTCATGACCTCAGGGCCAACTGCAGCCGCAGGGTCTCTAGTTCATGCAACCAACACTCCTCTTGCAAGTTTCTTCAGAAATTGTGACCAACCAGAACCCTGGAGAAACTACACCTGGATAAAGTGAGCTTATGTGAGAAGCAACTGGATCTGGACTGTGCAAGGGGTGGAAATGTAGTAGACGTTGTTGGTGCCCTACCCAGACCCTCTCTCCTGGAAGGGCACCCCTACCCAGCTGCACTGCTGTTGGCTAATAACTCATCGTGAACCCTTCTCCAGGTAAGTGCCCTCAGCCAGATTAGAGATACCTCTTCCAGAAGATTAAACTCCCCTCCCATGGGGATACAAAAGCCAGCCCTCGAAAAGGGACCAACTCCATGGTGCAATTTATGTTCAGACTGAAGTTGACCCCAGTTATTACATTCTTTTTTTCTCTTTATGTTTTGTGTTTCTTGAATTGACATACAATTTACATACAGTAAAATACATAGATATAAAGTATACGATTTCATGTGTTTTAACAAATGTCTTCCAATGTAACCAGCACCCCAATCAAAAATTAAATATTTCCATCACCACCTCCTGGCCCCTTCCATTCCATTCCAACCTTTTTGACAGCCACTTTTCTGATTTTTATCACTATATATTCATTTTGTCTATTATTGAACTTCATATACATGGAATCTCACAATATGGATTGTCTTGTATATATCTTTTTACTCAGCATAATCACTTTGTGACTAATCTATGTTGTGTATATAAATAATTCATCTTCTATTGTTGAGGAGTATTTGATTGTATGAATATGCAATGATATATTTATCCTTTCTTCTGTTGATGGAAATTCAGGTTGTTTCCAATTGATAGCTATTATGGATAAAGCTGCTATCAAAATTCTTGCACAAGATTTTTTATAAAGTAGAATGATTGAGTCATAAGGTGGATGTATAAATTAACATTATAAGGAACTTCCAAACGTTTTTCCAAAGTGCATGTACCATTTTGCACCAATGATGTATGAGAATTCAAGTTGCTTCACATCCTTGCCAATATTTGGTGTTGTCAGATTTTTAATTTTTACTCATTCTAGCAGGTGGGAAATGATGTCTCATTGTGGTCTTACTTTGCGTTTCCCTGATGGCTAATGATGGTACCTTTCCATGTGCTTACAGGCCATCCACGTATCTTTTCTTCTGAAGTGTCTATTCAAGTCTTTTGCCCATTTTATTGAGTTATTTACCTTTTTATTGTTGATTTGTGGGTGTTTTCAATATACTCTGGATACAAGTCCATGGCAGATATATGTGTTGAGAGAGTATTTTCTCCTAGTCTGTGGCTTGTCTTTTGATTCTCTTAATGGAATCTTTTGATGAGCAAGAGTTTTAATTTTGATGAAGTACGATGTATTCTTTGTCTTTTATGGTCAGTGAATTTTGTGTCTTTTCTAAGAAATCTTCACCTACCACCCACCCCTCAAGATTGCTAGGATATTCTCCAATTTTTTCTTCTAGTTTTGTAGTTTAGCTCTCATATTTAGATCTCTATGATCCTTCTCAGATTAGTCTTGTGTGTAATGAAGGTAGGGCTGGAGGCTAATATTTATCCTGTTGGTTGAAAAGACTTTCCTTCCCTAATGGAGTTGGTACATTTGTTGAATTCACACACAATTATATGTGTGTGAATCTACTTCTGGATTCTGTTCCATTGATCTATTTGTTTATCCTTGAGATCATATTTTTGCTTAGCCTTTTCTTCCTGTTCTATTATATTTCCCTCACTGCCCCGCTCCTGAGAGAGTCTCCTTAATAAATCAGTTCAATGATAGCCCCATTTCAGGCTCTGTTTTCAGGGACCTGGGCCTAAGACATAAGACAAGACATTGCAAACTAACAGTTAAGTGAGATATAATCAGGTGCTAATTAGTGCTAGGAATAAGATAAAATATGGTAACTGGCTTGGGGCTAATAGCTAGGAAATTCAGAAAAGGCTTCACTGAGAAGGGAACAGTGAAGTCAAGCTTTGAGTGATAACAGTATACATGGCTGGTTGAGGTGCAGCAAGGAAAACACAGTAATCACTACAGCTGCAAGGCCCAGGAACTGAGAGGTTGGGGTTTGAGGTGGATCTTCAATGTCATTGTTGAAGCCACTAAGCATGATGGTAAGAGTACCGGTGGAAAGAGAGCCAGAAAACGAGATGCTAAACCAGGCAAGAGTTTATTAAACAGCCCTTTAGGGCTGGGTACTGTGGCTGACTCCTGTAATCCCAGCACTTTGGGAAGCCAAGGCAGCAGGATTGCTTGAGGCCAGGAGTTAGAGTCCAGCCTGAGCAACATAGTGAGACTTCATCTTTAAAAAAAATAAATAGCCAGATGCAATGGTGCACAACTATAGTCCCAGCTACTCAGGAGGCTGAGGTGGAAGAATCTCTTGAACCCAGGAGTTTGAGGTTGCAGTGAGGTATGATGATGCCCCTGTACCCCAGCCTGGGCAACAGAGCAAGTTGCTATCTCTAAAAAAAAAAAAAAAATGCTTTCTGGCAGGTCTGACTTAGTTGGCTTTGACCAATGGCCCTCAAGTTTAAACATGTAGCAGAATGACCTGGAAAACTTGTTAAAGCAGATTTCTGAGAGAACTGGTTAAGACACAGCCTTCTGAAATTTCTTGATGACGTGCCTAGGTGTGAGTCTTTTTTCATTCATTGTGCTGGGTACTAGGTAGGCCCTTTAAAGTCCACATTAATGTTTTTAATTTCCTTTATTTTCTTGTATTATTCCTTTTCTAACTGCCAACTCTCCATTTTTTTCTGTTTTACTTCCTGTTGGAACTTCTATTAGTCAGACGTTTAACTGCTTGGATTATCTAATGTTCTTTCATTTCTGTTTTTTTATCTTTATATTTTAGTTCCACTTTCAGGACTTTTCCTCAACTTTATCTTCTAATTCTTCTATTGAGCAGTTTTTCCTTGATATACAAGATAAATGCATGTATTTTTGCAAGCTCTTAATTATTCTGTATTCTTTTCATAGCATCCAGTTCTTGTTTCATGATTTTAAAGATATTATGATGTTTATAGAAATTTTCTCCTACCTCTTGGACTGTCTGTATCTTCTGAGTTCCATTTTGCTTCTGATTTGTTAGATTTGATCTAACAACTCTGATTTTTGTATTTGCTGATTTCCATGGTGTAAATACTACCACCATGGCTGACTTGAGGCTACCAACAGTTCAACAACCAACTCATGAAACTCCTATTTAAGCATCAGCCCCAGCCCATTCCCAGATCACCCTTCAGATGGGAGAGCAGGCCATCCATGTTGGTTATTACAATTGCATGAGGACCCTATATGTCTGCAAGAGGACCCTACACATCCACAGCCCTGGGTGGCTTACCAAGCATTTCTTTTAGGGAGTACTATCTCATATTTTGCCCTTCTGAAACCTGATGAACCTCATCTGTGAAATAGGTCTGACCTGTAGCCCTGGGCTTTGCAGCTGTGGTGAGGCGGAGCTCCCGGGGTTCCAGCAGGTGGCTTTATTCCCTCACGTGGGTCACTGTGGGGAATTAGGCTGCCTGGTTGGCGCTGTCTCTCTGCTCCGCCCTTCCATTCTACCCTAAAAAGCTTTCATAGTGATTAGTTCCTCGTATGGACGGATCTTGTTACAGTGCTACCAGGAGGGCTGCCTCCCAATCTTCTCCCTGAGATAAGGATGCCGCCTCTCCTGTAATCTCCCAGCTTAGAGGTTGCATTTTAATATGTAAGAAACGGTTTCCAGGCTGCGGGTGGGGTGGGAGGAGCGGTAATCAGAGCCTGGCTGAGTTGGGTTTTGAATGCACAAATGTATAATTAAAAAGTCCTTCCTGCTCATCAAATCCGTGGGGCCTGACATCCCCTTCCTTCCGCCTTGAAACGAGGAAAGAGCCAGTGTCGGGAACGGTCGTGTGGGTTAACAGGTGTTCAGAGGAAAAGAACAGAAAACCCCACCACGAGTGCCTTAAACACTGGGGCTGGATCTTCCCACATCACAAGTGCACCCAGGGTAGTTCTGCAGCCCAAGGATGCCAGAGCTCTGGACTGACGCAGCTGTGATTCTCCTGATTTGGTTCCCAGACTCAGCTGCAGCCGAGACAGCCTCCTGCGTCAGCCGCCATAGCAGTGGGGAGAGGCGGGGATGGCATTTCCCAGAATCCCCCAGCAGGCTGCCCTTGAGTCCCATTGGCCAGAACGGGGTCACGTGGCTTCCCACAATCCCCTGAGCCGCGTTTCCCGCGACTCCTTAGAGACTCCTCATAGTTCGTGCCCTCGACCCTCGACCCCGTTGCCTGGAGACTGGAGGCGCCATCTTGGTCCCCCTAACGATGAGATTTTATTAGCAAGAAGAAAGAGGGGGGTGGCCACTGTGATCTTCCCTGGGATGCGCTGAAGGCGCGGCCTTGCCCCTGAAAGAGCAATGGAGTCGGGTCAGCCCCAGGCGAGGGCCCTGCCCGGCGCGGCAGAGGGAAAGTCGCGATGGCCGCACCAGCCCCTCTTCTGCGCTGGAAAAAAAATATCTTTTAAATGGCAAGGTCTGTGCCGAACGCCAAGTACAGAGAGCGCCGAATCCCAGTCCTGGTCCCCAGTGGGCCCATGGTCCTTCAGGCGCCCCACTCATCCCTACACCCCTGCCACAACACAGCAGCAGCAATAAATGTTTACAATTCCCGCGAACCAGCATGGCGCTAAGCACTTGACATCATCTCAGCCGCCACCGCGGCAAAGCTACCGGCGGGTACCGCCCAGACCCCCACTCGCAAACAGGACACAAGCGCAATTCCTGCAGAAGCCGGGGACGGGGAGGGGCGAGTGCGTGGGGTGCGAGAGTACTATGTTCCCCATAAATGTGTACGATTATGACTTGTCAATCAAAAATAGTATTAATAAAAACAAACAAGAATACAGTGTTCCAATCTTAGCTCAGCCATAGACTTTCTGTGTGACCCTGAGCAAGTCCTTTCCCCTCTCGGGGCCTCAGTTTACTCACCTGTAAAAGGGAAGCATAGACTCTAAGCTGCAATGCGTTGCGTAAGCGGTGGTTCCCAGACACTGCTGTGAATTAGAAATACCTGGGGACCTTCTGAAAATCTTGATACCCTGGTTGGATCACAGGCCAATTAAATCAGACTATGTGGGGTTGGGAGCCAGGCATAGGCGCTTTCTCTCTCTTTCTTTCTCTTTCCCCCTCCCTCTCTCTCTCTTTTTTTTCTTTCTTTCCTTTCTTTCTTTTTAGTTCTCCAGGTATTTCCAACATGCAGCAAAGTTTGGGAACCACTTGGAAGTCTAAAGATTTCATCTTCCTGGCCTCCTGTGATGCAGCAAGGATAGCCTGAGACAGAATGAGGGTCTTGAGCCAGAAATGAAATTAAATATCCAGAATAGGCAAATCCATAGAGACAGGAAGGAGATTAGTGGTTGCCAGGGGCTGGGATGGGGGGGTGTGGAGAATGGGGTACAGGATTTCCTTTTGAGGGTGAAGAAAATGTTTGGAAATTAGATAGTGGCAATGGGGGCACAACACTGAGTGTGCTCAATTGTACGTTTTAAAATGGTGAAAATGATCAAATTTATGTTATGTGTATTTTACCACAATTTAAAAAAAAAGGCTGGAGGGAAGGAAGGAAGGAGGGCAAGAGAAAAAAAATAGAAATTACATTAAAAACAGGGTGTAACTTTCAGGCCAGAACTTGTAGGTCAAACGGGGGGGGGGGGGCACAGGCTAAGAGCTCAGCCTCCAGAGGCCAACTGGTTTCAATTCCCCACTCTGCAACTTGCTAACCAGGTGCTGTGTGAGCCTGAGCAAGTGACCTCACCTCTCTGATCCTATCTGGGTGCTTCTGCAAAATGGAAGTACGAAAACCCCCGACCTCAGTGAATTGTGGTGAGGCCCGAACAGAAACTGCCTGCCACAAACTGCTAGACGAGTGAAAGTTATTATGAGTCTGAGCCCCGAGAGAAGCAACTCAGGGTTTTTTGGGGACCAAGCACAATGGGGCCCAAGTGAGCAAAGGGACTTGCGCCCAGCTGGCTGGCACCAGCATCCGGGTTCAGGCCTGGTCGCCTCCCATCCCCTGCCCCAAGGCCCTGGGGACCTGAGTCAGCGCGGTCCCCGGCGCAGGGCGGGGCTCCCGGCTCTCACCTGGCGCTGCAGGCAGCCCGCCACCCGCCTTTCACCTGCCCTCCCCGTGGCTCCGGGCGCTGCTTTCCCAACTGCCCAGGTGACGCCAGCGCCACGGCTCTGGGCTCCCACGCGGAGTGCGGCCGCCGCCAGGTGGGGTCGCCGCCAGGTGAGACCGCGCCGCGTCTCCTGTTCCCGGTCTGTGGCGACACCTGCTGGCCTTCCGCGGAAGGACACAACCTCTACCCCAACCACCTGGTTCAATTCAGCAACTTAATTACTGAGCACCTACTAACTATTAGTATAGATGCCATGCAGGTGCGGCGCCAGGTGTCCGGCCTCCACACCTTCGCTGCTCTCCCGGAACTTACAGAGCAGTTGAGTTGACAAAGAAGAAGATGCAAGTTGTACCCTTCCTGGTTCCCATACAGAATCACTTTAGTTCGGGACATCCTGGCAGATCCTCTCAGAGGATCAACAAACATTTCTGGAGCAGCTATTATGTGCCAAGGACTGTGCTGAGCATTAAGCATATAACGGCCATGAGACATAGCTCTTGAGATGCTCCTAATCTCATGAGAGTTTCTAAATAAACAGTCTAGGAAGACTGGAGAACGTTTTTGCTCCCTGGAGGTCTTACAAATCTCCCCACCCTAACTTCCCAAGATAAACACAAAGGAATGAATTTGTAATGGTGGAAATTACAAATAGAGACCAGTACTTGGGGACTCTTCAAAGTATGCTGTATGAATGACTCAATCCCTCTTCCCCAATGAGCCCCCATTTTCATAGAAGGGAAAAATTAGGTCACAGAGGGATTGGGTCCGAATACTGAGCTAGACCTCCACTGAGATGTTGGAATCCTGGTGGCTAGTTAAGTTCACAGGACGTGCCTTGGTAATAGGGGTTCACCCCAGCTCTTCTCAAACACACCTGCCCAAGTAGGGCTGATGGAGCTAACCTGACCCACCACCATCCTTGTCATCACCGCATCACCCAGAACTTACCTTGAACCAGCCCCCAGGTCATCGATGAAACCCTAGAAGGTTTAAGGAGCACAGATCCTGTTCTGTCATTGCAATTTGGGGATGGAGCACACCACAAAGATTAAAGGCCACCCTTGAACAGCAAGGGGCAGGTTGATGTTTAAACAAATCATTTCAACCCAATGTGATAAAATGCGGAAATGGAGGTAATTTCCAATTTCAAGGAAGCACAGGAGACTGTGGGACTCACCCTGCGAGGTCTTGAGAGAGAAGTAATATGGAAACACAAGACTATATCCATCTGAGTATCCGGTCCAGAGGTTCTCAAAGTGTGGCCCTAAAGCAGCATCACTGGGGGACTTATTAAAATGCAAAGTCTGAATCAGATACTCTGTGGTCGGGCCCAGCAAGCTGTGTTTTAACATCCTTCCAGGTGATTCCAATGCACTGAAGTTTGAGAACCTCTCATTGAGGAAGGGCTGCCCAGAGGAGCCTGTATACCTGTGTTTTTAACAAGCTACCCAGGAGATTTTCCATGATCCCAGTGTACCAGAAACAGTACTTTAGTTGAAACCACTGATTTTTCTATTCCTACAGCTTTTAAATTGTTTTCTCCCCCTGCCCATCTAACCTTTATTTTTAATTTCAGAATATTACAGGGGTACAAACATTTTGGTTGCATAAATTGCTTTTGTACCACTTGAGTCAAAGTTATAAGTGTGCCCATCCCCCAGATAGTGTGCACTGTACCTGCCAGGTGTGAATTCACCCGTCTCCTCCCCACCACCTGCTTGATTTCTGATGAATGTTATTTCCACACGTGCACATAAGTATTGATTGATTAGTTCCAAGTTAATGGTGAGTACATGTGGTGTTTGTTTTTCTATTCTTGTGATACTTTCCTTAGAAGAATGGGATCCAGTTCCATCTAGGTTAATACAAGGAGTATTAGTTCATTTTTTATGGCTGAGTAGTGCTCCATGGTATACATATACCACATTTTATTAATCCACTCATGTATTGATGGGCACTTGGGTTGTTTCCACATCTTTGCAATTGTGAATCATGCTGCTATAAGCATTCGAGTGCAGATGTCTTTTTTATAGAGTGTCTTTTTTTCCTTTGGGTGAATACCCAATAGTGAGATTGCTGGATCAAACGGTGGGACTGCAAATTAGTACAACCTCCATGGAAAGTAGTATGGAGATACCTCAAAGAACAAAAAGTAGAACTACCATTTGATTAAATTGCTTTTTCTCCTTTATCTCAGAATGATTGTTTCGTCTTCATTCTTTGAGAATGTGTTCATTCTCATGAACCATCATGGACTACACCAAAAAATAAAGAACACAGATAGTGTGTTCACTAGAGAAATAGCAGTTCAACTAGAGAAATAGCAGTACCCATCCATTGGCCTGTGACTCATCTGATGTTAGCACTAAAAGTCCGATGTCCCAGAAAATCCTTAAGTCCTGGGAAGACTGAGACAGTTGGTCACCCCGGATTGGTATTTATAGCATACATGTGCATGCATTACTGTGACCCAAATAACAAACAACATAAAATGCGGAGAGCTTTGAATTATAATTTCTACAATCTCTTAATGTCAATCCTAATCCTAATCCAAATTTTATAATCTTCTTCATTCATTATCATCTTTATGACTTAGTATTTCTGATCCACTTTAATTAACAAAGCTTGTGGGCAAGAGGCTACACATTTCACTTTACTTTTTATGACCATCTGACTTATGAATATCATTAAAATGTGACTGTGTAAAGCTGAAAATGAACATTCTGTGATTCAGCAATTCCACTCTTAGGTAGATACTCCAGGGGAAACTTCTAGAGAAGTTAGGTAGGAGGAAGTTCTACGTTGTGATAGTCTTGCAATATGGTGGCAACATGAGTATCCACAGGACTATAGGTATCTATAATGTGGTGTAGCCAAACAGTGGAACACTACATTGTACAAGAAAGACAGCAAGTAGCAGGAGACTACATCTACACTCACGTAGAGGAGTATAAATGACTACAAATTGAAGTACGCGTTTTATGGATGCATAATATGTAATAAAAGTATAAAATAGACATGAAAATTCTGCACAATACAATGGTTCCCTCCACAGGCAGAGAGGAGAAGATGAGAATGAGATCTGAAAGTGGTTTTTAACTGTATTTTTTTAACAGTTTAAAACATATGTTTTAAACCGTTGAAACTGTTTGCTTTAACTGTGTCTCTTAAGCTGAGAACTCATGAATAATCATTTTATTATCCTCATTCCTATTGATATGTCTTAAATATTTCATAATAAGTGTTTTGCATACTTTATGGTTTGTGCAGCGATCCATGCTGTCTTTTTTCTTGAGACAGAGTCTCTGTTGCCCAGGCTAGAGTGAGTGCCGTGGCGTCAGCCAAGCTCACAGCAACCTCAAACTCCTGGGCTCAAGCGATCCTCCTGCCTCAGCCTCCCAAGTAGCTGCAACTACAGGCATGCGCCACCATGCCCGGCTAATTTTTTCTATCTATATTACTTGGCCAATTAATTTCTTTCCATTTATAGTAGAGACGGGGTCTCATTCTTGCTCAGGCTGGTCTCGAAAACTCCTGACCTTGAGCAATCCGCCCACCTCAGCCTCCCAGAGTGCTAGGATTACAGGCGTGAGCCACTGTGCCCGGCCAATCCATGCTGTTTTTAACACATAAAGAACCCATGACTTAATAAAATTTTAAATCTTCTAGGTTGTCTAAGCCAAAAGGGAAGTTCTTGTGCTACACTGTGTTTCTATGTTAAGGAAGATTCTGCACCTTTCTTGTTCATCACTGTGTTCTCCATGCCTAGCAAAGGACATAGTGACCTTGAAGTTCCTCAAAAAATGATTAAAATATTGAATAAAACTCTCCATCAATAGATGAGTGGATTAATAAAATGTCACATATGTATACCATGGAGTACTATTCAGCTCTAAGAAACAACGGTGATATAGCACCTCTTGTATTTTCCTGGATAGAGCTGGAACCCATACTACTAAGTGAAGTATCCCAAGAATGGTAAAACAAGCACCACATGTACTCATCAGCAAATTTGTATTAACTGATCAGCACTTAAGTGGACACACAGGAATTACATTTATCGTGTATTGGGCAGGGGAGAGGGGGGAGGAGGGGACGGGTATATACATACATACTGAGTGAGATGTGCACCGTCTGAGGGATGGTCACACTTGAGGCTCTGACTTGAGGGTGGTGGGGGGCAAAGGCATTATACGTAACCTTTACATTTGTAACCCCAAAATATGCTGAAATAAAAAAAGAAATAGAAAACCTGAATAAATTGATAATCATTAAAAAATTAAAAGAAAAAAACAACTCTCCATTTTATAGATGAGGAAACTGGGACTCAGAAGGGACACGGTTTCAGCCAAAACAGCTACTGCTATAGAGGGAGAGCTGGGGACTAGACCCCAGATCTCTTGAACCTTCCAGGCCAGTGCTTGTCCCACTGCACCACTGGTTCCTGAAGCGTGGTCCCCAGCCCTGCTTGTTTCTGGCAGGGCCAACAGTACACCTTCACCATTCACCACAGGGCTGTGTCGCTTGTTCATTGCACAGAAAATATTCATGCTGGTTGGATCTGTTGAGCAACAGCTGAGTAGCAAGTACTGCAGATGCCCTAGTGAAATACGTAAATGACAAAGCCCACGGAAATTCCAGAGCCCACCTCCTTGATGAAATGTCTGGGCTTCCGCGAGATGGAATATGCCGAGATAGCCCCTCCAAGCTGAAAGACAAGTTGCTGCCACTCACCCCACCTACACCCGCAAAAGAGATTACAGTGATGGGTGGCAACATGGAACACATTCAAGTGAGCTACTCTGACCTATCTACAGAGGTGCCCTGCCAGTAGCCTGCCAGTGTTGAGGGGAGAAAAACAAAAGAGGGCTCTGCAGTCAATTCAGGACACAGTAGAAGGGGCTCACGTTGGGTTGTTGACCATTCCTGCCAGGCAGGAATCTCTCAGCCCAGTCAGCCTATTGTGGAAAGCAGATTCCCTGCCCCCTGCGGAGGCTCGAAGCATCCAAAGCTGTCTCCATCTTGCCCCCAGACTGTGACTCTGTTCCCCGGATGCGGCCTGGCCCATAGGAGAGGGAGCCACAAACCAGTCTGTCTGCTGGATCCCGAATGACCCCACG